TATATATATATATATATATATATATCTTAAGTAATTGTAATAAAATTAATGAGAGAATATCTATATGCGTGTATAAGAATAGAGAATGTGTAGAAGGTTTACTCACCGAATCTACACAAGGAATTTTATGGTGTGTAAACCAACGGAGAACCTGTTCTCTGAAAGTTTTTCCAACATCAATCAATATATACTTGTGGGCACCATTCTCATTAATATAATCAATCAATAGAGAAGTGTTACACCTGTAAAGGCAAAATAGAGGGAGTTAAAAAAACATAATAAGATTCAGAAAGTTGAAAAGGATCTTTTGGAAACCTTTATTTTTCTACCAATTTTCCAGACTTCCGAAAAGCATGAACCATGATTGAAAGTCACCTTTAAACATGTATGAAAATCAACCTAAAAGTTTCAATCATGCAGGCTGAGTCTATAATTAAGCTAATATCACGACATAAACCATCACAAAAAAAGCCATCTAGCATGCCAACGTGAATTCAACACCAAAAATGAAACTGCAAAGCAAGCGCAACAGAGACAGACAGAGACGCATGAACCAAATCAATCAAGACCAGTTTAAATAAAACAAAACTGAACCTAGGGCCTCTCTTCTTGATATATTATCATAAAAGGAAAAACAACAGGGCATATTCAATCCCAGAAAGAGAGACTTCAATGGAGGGGCTCAAATCCACAAAGGAGATATGTGGTGACTATGTTGAAGCGGTGAACATTCCTGTATTGAAGCCATCACAATCACACATGATGATTCAGCAACAGGTGCAATAATCAATGTAGCGGTCAAGGTTCAATGTAAGAAAGATTGTGGCTAGTCGTGATATCAATCACCAGTGATTGAAGAGCAATTTTGTCAGGTCTTCCTCACATAGCCTATAGATATGAAACCCTTTTTCTTCTCTACTTGAGAGATTATGCTATGTTCCTCCTCGCTTCCCTTAACGCTATTTGAGGTGGTCTGTTATTCATAAAAGAATTAGATTTTTTTTTTTTTGTGGGAGTAAACCATCATGCTGATGGGATCACAACCATATCTTTTTTATATAGAAAATTCTTTTTTGCTTGTAAGGTTTTGAAACCATAGGTATAAGTATTTATGATTTTCCTAGTTTAATATTAAATTTTTTTTAAATTATCATAATCATGTTAGGAGGGTAGATGCTTTAGATTCGACTTATGTTAAGAAAGATAGAAGTAGACTTAAAAAGACTTGACCAATTTGTATAAAAAATTATCTTAATCTATTAAAATCAAATGAAAATATGACACTCAATAAGACATAACGGAGAAAAAGGATTCATGTTGCCGGCCCCACTTAGTGGGATAAAGGCTTGTTGTTGGTGTTGTTGCAGCATAATCTGATGAATTTAGATAAATATGAATTTTCAAAAAAAAAAAAAAAAAAAAAAGATGGCATAAACTAAATACCGAAATAACTCAAAAGAAGAGAGTGAAATAGCAGAAAATTGCACTAACAAACCAGCATCCAGGAACAAAAATACTTTAAAATCAAAGAAAATTAAGATATTTACAATGAATGCCCGAAAAATTAGGATACAAACTAGCAATGTCACTGGCATAAAAATTATCCTACTAAGGGGAGAAAAACAATTACAGCCATCTCCAAAGATAAGTCAGCGAAGAGAATCTCATAAGAAATTTAAGTCTAAAGGAGATGCAGTTGAGAAGTTTAATAGTTGTATCAACCGTAATCAGACAATCAGAGCAACAACCATTTCAGGGATCATATGAGAATACCTCAGTTGGTGATAGAAGAATATCAGTTTTTACTCCTAAGGACAGAGAATTGACAAGAACATTAATGACATTGGCTCAAATGGGCTTAAGATCATTTTCCCACTTAATCCCTAAAAAACCTCTTATTACTCCTGTTAATTCTTATGCTGACATGTTTTAGATGCCTAATGAGACGGGCCTTTCTAAGAAAATAAAAACAACTACTGGCCTCATCCAATTATTTGCACTTCTGAAGAGATTGTGAGATTGTATGAAGAGGAAAGTGAATATAAAAGCTTGTCGCAGTAAGCATATGAAACAAAATCTAAAGGATGAAGAAAGATAAGAGAGGAAAATGTTTCCTTCCCTCGTAATCCCAAATCTCACAATACACACTTGATATTGAAAGAAACATAGGTATTGCACTTACCATGATTTACTGACTTATAATCAATATAGCAGTTCATAAACTCCAACTTTGCAAATATGCCTAAAAATTTACAAAAGATATGGATTCAAAGATACTTTGAAATGTAATAAAAACAGACGCCCTACAACATTTAATACATTTAACGACATTTCATTTTAGAATTATAATTACCATTCTCAGTATTCAAGTTGCTCACCTGACTCAGCTCCAACTCTAATTGGTCGGATTATATAAAATGCACTAATGAAATTATTGCAATGCCTAATGAAAACCAGGTGTTGAGAGCATTGAATTATGATCTTTATCTGATCGATTATTTGGAAGAAACACAACATAGTTATTCCAAAGCAAAAGAACAGCTCCATGCATCAAAGGCAGTGATCAGAAAAGCTATTATTGATCTAAATGTTGCAGTAGATGACGCCTATGTGAAAACTTAAGTATAATGATGAAGGGACAACTAAAAAATGCCTTTGCCCGAAATCAAAGACTTTTACACATTAAAGCGTAGATATCCATGTTTTTATAAGGATGGAAAAGAGAATTTTAGAGGAATGGCATGGGAAACTACTTGATCATCGTCTTTATCCTCTCCACTCTCTTCTGTTATGGTATAGCTCATATAACATACAAGGGACAGATGCTGGAACGAAGTGGAGCGAAAGAATCTGTCCAAATCGAGGGAGTTTCCTTATGTGGGTTGGGGGTGCGGGGGAAACGCCCCGCGATACGGTACAGGGGTAATTTAGTAATTACATATTTGTCGGTCAACTTTTTTTTCTCGATTGATTAATTATGAAAATATGGTATATGAAAATAAATTTTGAGATTTAATTTAAGTATAAAAGATATATATAGTTTGAGTTTTAAAAGTAGTATGTTTTAATTTTTTGAAAAATGAGACCAAATGGATCTCATTAGTCTGATAGTTTGCATAATCGTGCCTGATACCGCGAATACTACACCTTCCCGAGAGATAAGTGTAGACCTCAACGATAGAC